CTTTTATATATATATATATATATATATATATATATATATATATATATATATATTAACACTATAATAAACAGAATCTGTTAAAAAAATTAACTTCAAGCATTTCTGCATAACACTTTAAATCAAACAGTTTTAATATCATGCATAAATTCAGTCAAGTGTCTCCAAATGTTTAACAGGTAGTGTATTATATATAAATGAATATGTATAAAAAGTATGTACTAAATATAACAGTATGTACAATGTTAATTCAGGGTTGAATAGGGTTAATAAGGTTTCAAGTCAGGCTACTATAAAGCACTACAGGCAAACAGATCAGACACTCAGCATGAGGACTATGACTGCAACATGTGGAGTCAGAAAGTATAAAGAGTAACTCTAATCCAACACTATCTAAACCTCAGAAACACAGGCCTGGAAATGCCCTCTTGAGGGTCTTTCCACATGCCATTCTTAGGTTTGTGAGAGCAACAGTGCTGAACTGACTTGTGCTGAACCCCATACAAGCCACTGGTACCAATCAATAGTCCTCTAATCATATAAGACAATATAATTAGCTGCATCTAATTTCAGGTTTGATCTGCTTCCAGTGATTCATGTTCCTGTTTCAAATTAAGCGTTTGATCAATGCACTGGCACAGATGCAAATGCATTATTCTTCATGTAATCTAATTCTGGATGTGAGGAGGGGTGGATATATTCAGAGGCCTATGAGGAGCTTCATTGTGTCCTGTCTGGTCAGAATTACAAGCCTTTCACTGTATATTTCTGCACTGTATATTTCTGCCTGTATATTTCTGCCTGTGTGTGAGGCTGGGCGGTGTGTACTGTACTTACCCCGTTCCACTCCACGCTCATACTCACTTCCTCTCCTCCGTCAGGGCCGCTTTCGTACTTCACCGTGTCAGAGGTCAGGCTCTCACGGCTCCTCTGCTTCTCTCGTACTTCAGGGTCTCCCAGCACCTCTGCCACACGCTGCTTATGTGCCGTGTCCAGACCCTGCAGGAAGAGAGACAAGACAACATGCTGAAAATCAACAAATATGATCCGAAATCTTTTTCTAACATCCAACAACCTATGAATCTAATTACCTACTTATAGAGAATTACAGTGACTCTATATTCTATTAAATCCTTAAAGTTGTACAGAGTACTTTTATGACATTTATATGGCACTTTTTGTCAATTTTAAAGCTATATATCACCATACATGTTTGCTGTATAGAAAAGGCATTTTAAACATTTAGAATAAAGTGATAGATTTCACACATTGTATTTTAAAATAAATAAATAAAGAATAATAAATTAAATAGTGACAATAAAATATTCTACTGCTCAAAAGAATTCTGAATAATTAAGATTTTTTTAAGAAAAGATTTTGAAATAAATCTTTTTCCCAGCAAGGATACATTTATTACAAAAAACAAAAACAAACAAACTGTAAATTACATATATATATATATAAAAAATCAAGTCACGTTTTCTATTTTATATATTTTAAAATTTTATTTATTCATGTCATGGCAAAGCTGAATTTTCACAATCCTTCAGAAATCAATCAAATATGCTGATTTGATGCTCAATAAACATTTGTTATTATTATCAATGTTGAAAACAGTTGTGCTCCTTCATATTTTTGTGGAAACACTGAAATACCACCATTCAAATGTCTGGGGTAAGTAAGGTTAAAAAAAATGTATACTTTTATTTAGCAAGGATGCATTATATTGATCAAAGGTGGCAGTAAAGAGCTTTATAATGTTACAAAAAAATATATAAAAAATGCTGTTCATTGAACTTTCTATTCATCAAAGAATACTGACACAGTAATAGGAACCATTATTAATAATTGAGCACCAATAATAATTATTAATAATAACTATTGTTGCCATCATATGAATAAATTACATTTTTAAACACATTCAGATAAAAAAAGTTATTTTAAAATGTGATTTCACAATATTACATTTTTTATTGTATTTTTGATTAAATAAAAGCCTTGGTGATCATTAGAGATTTCTTTAAAACAAAATGATTAATTAAAAAGTATATGTACATACATATATACAGTGGGTACGGAAAGTATTCAGACCCCCTTAAATTTTTCACTCTTTGTTATATTGCAGCCATTTGCTAAAATCATTTAAGTTAAATTTTTTTCCTCAATGTACACACAGCACCCCATATTGACAGACAAACACAGAC